CCGCCTCGCTGCCGCCCTCGCACGGGCTCCCGCCGCCGCAGATCTCCCCGTTGCTGCCACCCTCGCAGTCGTTTGCCCCCGCCAACCCCCCGGCGCCGCCGCCGCCGACGACGACGACGAATGCAAGCGGGGGAAATGAACCGGTGGTGCTCGTCCGGGAGGTCCTCGCGGCGATGCACGCGCTGCTGAATAGCGACCTCACGCGGGAGGTGGTGCGGTGGAATTGTTTTCAGGTCTTTTCCGCCGGAGAGGGGCGCGGGTATATCCATAAATCGATCCTGGAAGGGATTCAAAAGCGCGGTCGAGACGCCTGCAACGGCCCCAACGCGAAGTTCACCGTCTCGATTATTAAGGCGTTGAACGACGCCTTTGATTGCATGGCCGCGGAGGAGGAAAAGGAGTACCTCGCCGCGAAGGCCGCCGCGGGGAAACGGAAAAGACGAAAAGCCGCCGTAAAACCCCCCGTCCTTCCCCCGCATCAGAGCTCGGTCATCCCGTTAAGCGTCAAACGCCGCTCGCATATCGATTACACGACGTTTTGTCGATATTTTGATCAACTCCCCCAGCTCGCGGCGGCCTTCATGCATGTGTGGTTGCCTCTTCTTTTTACGGGGAAAGTGGGGGGACAAAATTATGACCTCACCCTTTCGACGGAGGAGAATCTGAAAGACGGCGAGCTCTCCCCTGCCACCACCACCACCACCATCATCGAGGGCGAGGATCGTGTGGAGCGGAAAGGCGTGATGGAAAAGAAAGTTTTATGGAGCGAAGCCGAAGATGGGGAAGGGGGGGAAGGGGGCTCCAAAGACGCCACGATCGGACTGGATGTCGTCGAAAAACTCCCGCGAAATGCCACCGCGGAGGAGGGAGATGTCAACGACGCCCCCTCCGATGAGGGCCTCGTCGAAAAAGAAAACAGCCAGATCCGCGAAACGATCGACCTGCCGTTGTGGGAGAGTGGCGAATACCCCCTTCAGCTTTTGGGTGCGACCCTGGAAATTCGCCATGCGACCTTGCAACGGCTTATTTTTAGGGAGATGGATATTTTTCAAAAGGCTGTCGAACATCTGGAGTATCAAACCATACTAACTTAAAGGACCCCCTCCCCCCCCCGAAAAAAAAAAAAGAAAAGGATCTCTATTGTGAAGAATTAAAGGGAGAGGGGAGAGTCCTTTTGGGTGAGTTGTTACTATGATTTATTTTTTACTTTTCGGTGAAGATGTTTCTGTTGGTATTGTTTTTATTATTTGATCCTTGTGTTTAGATTCGTTTTAGGTGAGGACAAGGGAAAGTGTCTGTATGGGTTCTGTATGTACCTTTATCGTGCATGTTCCGATGTTGATGTATCTAATGCTTTCAAATCAAAGGCTTAAGGCAGGTGCTACTCGTTCTCGTTTCATCATGTATCTCTTGTTTTCATGATGTTCTATACCCACTGCTCCGATGTAAAGACAAGGCTAATCGTTAGCCTCCTACTTTTTCCACCTTAGCCCTGCATTGTATTTTTCATGGGCTAACATGTTGTTATGCGAATATCGTTCTATAATAGTTAAGATATTTGTGAATGTATAGAACTTTGTCGAGGTAGAACGTATAATATAAAAATATTTACAAAGCTTCTTTTTTAGATCGTACTTTCATACGACTCATGGGACTGCAGGGATTCATTTTTATGTCGTTATCATGGACTTTTCTCTGCCTTATTCTTTCAAATGAGACATCAAGAGCGGGAGTGCGTGCAAAGCATTAATTTTTTTCAGGGGGGGGGAGGGTTTTTACGGTAACGTTAAAACAACTTTGTAGCATCACCCACTTTTGTAGAATACCGCCGTCGTAACGTCTAGGACGAGGTGAGAATACGCACCTACTTTTATAGAAAAATCATAAATCAAGAGTGGGCGATGAGCAATCAGGCGAAAAAATCTACCGATCTCCCCAACGCACCGACATCCCGAAGTGCGATGAGTTCTCGTGAAGGAAGTTTGCATACCGCGATTTTTTCGCCTCCGCAGAGCCCCTCCGAGGATAAGCTACTGCACACCTCAATGGCCTCTCCGCAGGCGAGCGGGAATCACGCGGAGAACAGACGGGGTGAGACCCCGTCTCTTTCCCCTTCACGCGGTGAAAAGCGCTTTTCGCGTTCGATTTCACCTCCACACGCCCGCAGCGCGCACGTTTCCCCTCCTCGAAGGCCCTCCGCGCCGAAAAATCGAAACCTCAACGCCCCGCCTCCCGAGGACGACAAAGGAGTTGAGTTCACTATGGAGTTATACCGTGAACTACACCAACGAAACTTCCACAGCGTTCGCGAGGAGCTAAACTTTTTGCGATCTCATTTTGTCTCCTCGCGCAAAACGCTCGCGGTGCTGAACGAGGAAACGCGGCGGCTTCGTCAGGTTTTACGGGAGCGCATGGGGGATATTCGCGATTTGAAGGAAAAATTAGCGTGGTTTGAACGCCGCTATGGCAACTATCAGGATCTGATTCTTCAGGAAAATACCACACGAGGGGCGAAGGAGATCTTCCTTTCCGAAAGCCTCGAGAAGGAAAATGGGAATGGCGAAAAACGCCGCCCATATCGGGGTGAAACCTCATCCGAAGGGGTGAAGGCCTCGACGGAGCTCGCGCTTTACGCCGCGGCCGCCTCGGCGACCTCGAAAATCCGCAAACGCCCCGCCGCCGCGACGACGAAAAACGAGCTGAACACGGTGGAGTTAATCAACGAGCTCCGACGGAACCTCGCGCGGCGGGATACCGCGCTGGAGCAGTGCAAACTCGAGCTCAACGCCGTCAAGGAGGAACGAAATACCCTCGAGTCCACGTCGAATCAACGCCAAAAGGCCTTGGTGGAGTCCGAAAAAGAAAAGCGCGAGCTCCGTACGGAGTTGGAGCGGAAAACGGATGGAAACGCCGCGTTGGAGGAGCAGCTGCGAGCCTCCCGTGTGACCCTCGACGCCCAGGAAAGGGAGCTGGCGGATCTTCGACGGAAAATCGATCTGGCGGAGATTCTCAAAGGGTATCCCGGGATCCCTGCAGGCGATCCCACCCCTTCCACCGCCCCACCCCGCGTGGAGACCGCGGGCCACCCGTCCGAGATGGATTACCTCTACGAACAGGTGCGAAGCTACCGTGCGAAGTGGCAAACCGCGGAGGATCGCATCGACGAGCTTCGCCGGCAACTTCACGCGCGGGAGGAAGCGGGAACGGCGGAGCACCGGAAAGCCACCCTCCCCCTTTCCGACGCGCAACAACGGCGATACGAAACGGAAATTCGCGATCAACTCGAGACGATTCACCGCCTGCAACGGAAACTCGATCGCGAGCAGGAGCGCGCGGCCTTCGCGAGTAGCGAGGAGCGTCGACAGCGGCAGGAGGAGCAACGCGCGCACGCCGCGGAGGTTTCCACCCTTCGTAGCGAACTCCTCGCGGCGAAAACCCACCTCGACGGGTTAACCAGCCAACGGGAAACCCTCCTTCAGCAGTTTCGCGGATTTACCACGAGCGAACAGATGGAAACGGCGCTTCGAGGGCAAAATGAGGCGCTTCGGCAGCGGCAGCAGGAGCTCACCGCGGAGCTCGCGGAGTCCACCGCGCGGGGGCGTCAATTGGAGGCGGATTTGCAACTTCAAATCGCGGAACGCGCGCAGCTGCAACGCGAAAACGAAGGGCTCTTCGCGGAGCTTCAACAGCTCCGCGAGCGCGAGGCGATGTTGCAGGAGGAGCTCCATCGGCTTCGCACGGAGGTTGGGGTGCGGGAGGGTCGCGTGTTCGCGCTGGAGCGGATGGTTTCCCAGCCATGGCATGCCGCTCGCGCGCGTTTTTTGCCGCGTGAAGGGGGAACCCACCCGGATGAGGTGGAATCCGCCGGGGAGGCCGAGGACGGTAGCGACGACGCGCTCGAGATGCCTTCCTCTCGCCCGAGAAGTGGTCAACCCGCGGATTCCGAGGACGGGCATCCGTATAATCGCGTCGTCGTGAAACCGCCGGGTTCGCCGATTTTGTTCGAGGCGGCCTCCTCGGCGCCCTACGCGACGTTGCTGAATTTGAATTCCGCGTTGCAACGACGTTTGCTTGATATGGAGCAGGAGTTGACGACGGCGTTTGCGGCGTTGCAATCCCCTGCCTGGTCGCGCCCCGTCGGGGAAACGGATGCACCAAAATTATTAAACTCCGAAATGGAATCGATTGGCCTCGACCCCACGCGAGGGCTTCCAGATCGACCTGTGTTGTCCAATTCCAATTTGGTTTCGACCTCCGACCATGTCACCCCCGATTTGGATTTCTCAACGCAACCGGTGAAGTATCTGGTTCAAAACCTTCTCAAGGAGCTCGGCCAGCTTCAGGCTGATCTCAAACACGCCCGTCAGGTGCATAAACAGTTGTCAAAGAAATGGAAAGCCTTGAAGAAAGAGTACAAGGCGGTTCTTGAAGATAACGTCATCCTCGCCAACGGGGCGGAGGCCATCTGTAAGGAGTTGTTTGAGTTAAAGAAACGGGAGGGAAAGAGCGAAAGATCCAGACGCACCCCCTCCCCAAGGGCCGACTTGCGAGAACTAAATAAATTGCATCATCGCGAAAAAAAGGAACTACATTCACAGCCATCGTCAGGGCTATTGAAGAAGTAACCACTGCTATCATGAGGTTTCCTCGTACAAAAATGCTTAGCATCTGGTGCAAGGCCGTCATGAGATTCTGAAGAACAAAAGCAGCAATTCAAAAAGATTGGTAAAAGGGTGTATGCCTTTGACTTCGACAAACAGTTGCATCTTCTTTTGCTTAAGTGGAATTTCACATTCAATGTGCATCTCTGTAGATTTTATAGACAAAGGCGTGTGTGTGTGTATATATATAAATGCCCCCCAGGATACGATGAGGGCGCAACTACTGCTTATCTTTAAACGGATAAATGTAAATGTAAGCTTTATGGTATATTATCTTTCTTTTTTTATTATTATTCATTATTTTACGAATTTTTCAAGTGAAATGACTGGAGGCGAAATTAAATCCTAAACAGTGTTTCAAACTCGATACTACCGGCACGATATCATTCATATCACTCAGCCATAATCGTTATTTCTTTAGAAGTGGAAGAGCAATAGACTTGCAAAAAAAAAACATTCCAGACGACCTATAGAGAGAGCAAGGTTGAGATGAAGTTCAACGCCGCGGTGTCTTTTTATTGCAAGACTGTTAATTCCACTCCTATTCGTCTTTGTAATCCTAGCCTAAGGCGCCTCAATCATTATGGACGGATCTCATCTCTACACGAGGATGAAGGTACTTTTTATACGGTCTTCCGACACTTCACATGGAAAATTCCCTTTATATCGTCGTCGTCATCCAATACCACGACCTCCAGTGCTCCCTGCAGTTCTTGCCGTCCATCTAACGAAACGACGACAAGTCAGCGGTTCTCGGCTAAGGAAACGGATTTGAAATCGAAATTCATGGATGAACGCCTCGCTGGGGCTTGTTTGGATCTTCTGAAGCTGTGTGGAAACTCGGGAAGCGTCTGGAGAGCGCGTAAGCCGCTCGATCGCGCCTCGAAGGAGCGTTTGTGGAAAGTAACCGACATGCTGCTGCATGAATCTCAACTCACCCCGGCGGATCAGTTTGATATCGTTTACGACGCCCTCTGCTGCCCCGCCGCACGGAAAGAAATGCAAATGCGGCGCATTCTGATGGTGGTTTTGGAGAGTGTGTTGCCCATGGATGTGTTTCGTCTCTTTGAGGCCGAGGATCTCATCCTTCCCGAAGTTCCGGATGTTCACGATGCAAAGAATGTGGCACTGCGGTCGATGCTGCGGCGGTTTATCCATTCCTTCCTCGGAGAGCTCGACGCGCCCGACGGGTTAACGAAGGAGGAAGTGCTTCGCGCCTATACGGAGGACTTCAAACACGCGTTTCCAACAGCCGCCCTCAGTCCGGCATTTGTGGAGCTGGAAAAAAAAGCCATGCGAATCGCGATGCGCGCGAAACTGATCAAACTTCTCATGGACTTATACGCCGCGTTTGACACGCAGCGAACGGGTAAAGTGAAATTGATCGAGCTTCGGCATACCGTCGAGCAAGTAATGGGAAAGGAGAAGGCCCGTCAGCTCCTCGAAGACATCCCCACGGACTCGGAGGGGAATCTCGCGTATGCGCAGTTCACCTGGCTCCTGGCGCGACTGACTTCGTTACGTAAAAGCGATAATCTCAATAAATGATCAAATTTCAACCCTGTGGCTTGGTGATATCGGTATATCTATCTTTATCGGTAACTAAAACATGCGTTACCTGCAAGAGTAGGTCGCTGATTAAATGTTAACAAACTCGTCAATGTGGAGTGGCAAAAAAGTATCGGTGACGTCTTTTTTTCCTCAATGAACTCCCCATCGCTTTCCTTCATCCCTTTCCTTTATTTACGAGTTTTTTAGTCAAGACTTAGATAGAGATACCAGACATCAGAGATAGGGTTTTCTCTTCTTACCCCTTCTTTCCCTCAGAATGGCACGTGGTCCGGGTGCTTTCCGGAATAGTTTGCTTTTGCAAGCACCCCGACGCATCAATACCGCGAGTTCCTCCTTTTTGAGGGGTCATTATCCTATTATTCAAGGTTCCCAAACTGCTTCCGAGCTCACCGTAGCTGCAAGGATTTCAGAGCTTCAGTTAAACCCACAAAAACGCTGGTATAGCACATCCTCAATAGCCATCACACCAATTAGACGGAATCCGCTGCGTGAGGAATCACATTTTTTGCCTAGCAAGATTAATCTCCCTTCCTTTTCCACAGCCTCTTCGACTAATACTTCCGGTACGAAGTCGAAGAAAGAGAACAAGTCTGGGAAACCGGGTGAATTTAGCTCCATTTTAGGTAAAACGAGTATCATGGAGTCGGGTGCAGGGGCTCCTACCAAACAAGGCTCCTCGTCCCCCAGAAAGAGAGGTAGATCAAGGGTAACAAAAGGGAAGGTATCGGATAAATCGGAAACGACATCGGCGAGGGGAACAAATCGCTCCGCCACGAATTCAAATGATACTGACGAAGCCAAACCTCATAGCCCAGGAGATGGCAATGAAGACTTCGCCTTCACCGAGGCCATTGACGATGTCTTTCAACTCCATGATTCTCCTGTAGCGAATTCGCAAAAAGAGGGACTCGGGCATGACGGCAAGAAGGGCGAGGAATCCACAAGCGGCGAGTCTTCCTCGTCATCGGACCTCAAAGGCGCGGATTTTCCCTCTAACGGTTTTCCAAACCCTGGCGCCGATCCTTTAGACTTCCTAACCCCCAGTTTAGAGATGGATGTGAACGGAATGGGGTACGGCAGCGGCTTCGAGAAGGCCCCTTCGAATGCGGCGAGCAATCCGGAGATGGAAGGCGTCCTTTCCGCCGTGGATATGCTCTGCGATGATTTGTATTACTGCAAAACGGAGGTGTTGCGATCGTACGCGCGGACGCGCTCGATTACCGGGCGCACCAAAGCGGAACTCGTGCTGCGCATCATCGAGGCGGCAAATCGCGCTGCGCACGGCGAATCCGAGGATCTCTCCCTCACCAAACGCCTGCTTGGCGACGTTTTTAGCGAAGAAATCCGAACGAGCGGGTTGCGTTCGGCCTGGACGAATAAATCCCTTGAAGCCTCCCACGTCGAGCTCGCCTGCGATCGCCACCTTAGCTTTGAGATGATGGTGAACTCCAATAAAACGCTGATGGCGCGGCGAAACTCCACGGACGCGATGCGGGTGCTTCGGAAACTCTCGCGGAGTTTCCAGCAGGATTACGAAACGCTTTCAATGACGGCCGTGGGTGGGGTTTTTCGCACCTACAAGGCGGAGGCCGATCAGCTGGTGAATGGGCTTTCTCTCACGGAGGTGGTGAGCCCGTTTGCGGTGTATCTGGTTTCCTACGTGCGGTTTGCGACCTCTCGAAATTTGTTCATGAGCACGGACGTGAACGAACAACTCGTGCAGCTGGAAGTCGTACAGCCAAGTGTGGAGGAAGGTGATGGACAGACGTTGCAACGCATGATGGGGCTCTTAGACGACGTCGTTGCGACCGTGGAGCGGCGGAGAGGGTGTTATGGGGATCGAGTGATTTCATGGGGGCAGGAAACGAACGAGGTGCTCGTTTCCGACGCCCAGGCCTTTAGCGAGATGGATCATGGAAAATGGAATACGGAGTTAGCGCCCGCGTGGGTGCACGATCTTGCACGGATGTTTAACAACTGGGAGGCGATCTTGCGAACGGACGTGCCGATTTTCGCGGACGTTCCTCGGTATTTTTTTGATTGCCTGTTAAACGGCGTCGTCTGCTACTACGTGCTTAAGAAGATCTACGGCGACCACATCACGTCGACTGACATGCCGTTGGGCATCCGACGGTCGCTTAAAACTGCCCTGCAGAGGCACTTTAAGGATCCAGAAAAGGCCTTTATGGCGATTCATGAGCTTTTAACCTATGTGCAGGTGGATGGGTGCGTAACCGCGACGCGTGGAATTAAGGGCAGCTTTTTTAGCTCTGTTCTTTCTCAAATGCAAGGGACCTTCAGCAATTCCGAGCAGGGCGTCTTACAAAACGAGCGTGTCGCGGTGATTCTCAATGAAGTTTGCATGACCGCCTCCCGTTGCACCCGTAGTTGTGGGCTCTTTAACCTTCTCGTCAAGATCACGGAGGATCTGCAGTTCCATTTTCGTTTTCAGGCCATTTTTAAGCTCTTAAACGCGAACGACCGCAAGACGATTCGAACGAAACCGTTTATTAACATGATTCAGACGCTCGAATACTTCGAAAAGGAATACAACATGACGCCCATCTCCACCAAGGCGGTTGGCTTCTTGGTCATCCAGCTGCTTTATATCTCGATGTGCAGTGGTGTGGATGGCCGCGCGCCCGTCGTGGAGCGATTCAAAAGTACGCTTGATCGCGAGGAATTGGATATCATTGGATTGACTGATTTAGCCGTTACACAGGTGCGGGATCTGCACATCGCGTTTCCACCTCAGCTGTCGTATAACTCGTGGCTGAACGAGTCGGATACGAAGGAAAAGTCGGTGTACAACGTGTTACCCTCCGTCGCCGTCAAAGGCTCCACGAATCAAGCCATGCTCATCTCGCAAGCCCCGATGATGCAAGCGCTGGATGCGATCTCACGCGTGCCCTGGCGTATTAGTAAATACATGCTTCACGTGCAGGAGGCCATTGTGCGGGAGGGGTTTGGTTTCGGAAAGATTCGAGCGGGTTTTTACCCCCTCCATTACTGCGCACTTAGTCGAGGGGATATGCACTACCCCTCCAAGCGTTCACTTTCTGACGGTTCCGCTGCAGACAACCTCAACGACGATGAAAACGAGGAGGACGACAACAAAACGGAGGTCTACAACATCCTCCAGCGTCGTCAGTACAATTTACAGCAGAATAAGGATTGGAGAGAGCTAAGTGAGATGCGGAGCAACCGGATTCACTACCTTCAGGCCCTTCGGCAGGCCCGTTCGCTCGTGCAGTTTTCGCATATTTACTTCCCAAATAGCATGGACTTCCGTGGTCGGATGTATCCGCTGCCGGGTCGATTGAATCACACGGGTTCGGACCCTTTTCGAGGGCTTTTGGAGTACGCCGAGCCGAAACCGCTCGGGAAGACCGGCCTCTACTGGCTAAAAGTCCACTTGGCGAATAAAATGGGTATGAGCAAACTCTCCTTCGACGAGCGCGTGCACTACGTGGATGAGCACATCGAAGACGTCGTGCAGAGCGCGGAGAGCCCCTTACGAGGGGATCGTTGGTGGCAAGAAGCGAGCGAGCCGTTGCAGTGTTTGATGGCGTGTAAGGATCTCGCCGACGCGTTAAAATGCTCGCAGGGGCCGGAGAATTTCCTCTCCCGGGTGCCCGTCGCGGTGGACGGCAGCTACAACGGCCTCCAGCACTACTCTGCGATCGGGCGGGATGCGTTCGGGGCGAAGTTGGTGAATCTCGTTCCGAGCCCCCGCCCGGCCGACGCCTACACGGGAATTTTAAAAGAAATGCTAAAATCGATCGAGGCGGATGCCGCGCGGGATCATCAGGTCGCCCAACGTTGCCTTGGGAGCGGGAAAGGGCAGGATATGAATCACATCCGTCGAAAGACGATTAAACGCCCGATCATGACGCAGGTGTACGGCGTTACTGGCTATGGAATGTCCGAGCAGATTCTTGGCGAGCTCGTAAAGCAAAACCGCAGCCATGGGTTGTGGACGAATACGGATATGAGGGAGATGGCGGCCTACCTCCGTGAGAAGGTGCTGGAATCCCTCGGCGTCACCTTCCGCGAAACTCAAAATTGCCGTCGTTGGTTGCGTGAGGTTACGGAGCTGATTTGGTCCGCGCAGCCCGCGGAGTTGCGGAATGAGCTGTGCTGGACGACCCCTCTCGGGCTTGTCGTTCGTCAGCCCTATAAACTCCGTAAGGAGGCACCGCTGTTTACGTTTCACGGCTTCACCCGCATCCCAGGGGATGCCGTGGCGCCCGCGAGCCGAAAGCAGCTCACGGCGATCGCCCCCAACCTCATTCACTCCTTGGATGCCACGCATTTGGCGATGACTGCGCTCGAGATGCAACGCCTCGGGCTTTCCATGATGGCGGTGCATGATTCCTACTGGACCTACGCCTGCGATCTCCCGCAGCTGTCGAAAACGTTACGGGAGCAGTTCGTGCTGCTCTACGGCCGCTACGACCCTTTGTGGGAGCTCAAAGGGCAATGGGAGGAGGCGTACTTTATGGATCTGAGGCGGCATGGCATTAAACTTCCCGATCCCCCGCCGCGTGGGGATTTGGACCTCAACGTGGTCCTTGATTCGCCGTACTTCTTCTCGTAGAACGGTTCGAAAACGTTCAGATGTGATTATTGTTATTATTATTTTGGATTAGGCTTACCTTTGTATCTTTTGCTACAGCTCGGAGATGGGATGAACTATGGCGTCGCCAGTTTGCTTCGCTTGTGTCTGAGCGAGTGGTCTATAGACTTGGAAAGAAAACGCGTTTGACAACAGAAAAAAAGAAAGGTTCTAAAGGGTGTGTGTCGGATGTTTATGTCAGGTCACAGGCAAAGAGCAATGATCAACAATGGGTAGCTCTACCCAAGATATATTCTCACAGAATGGAGGAAATGGATTAAGAAAAAACGGAGGAATTCTCTGTAGATCATAAAAAATGGTGAAATAGAAAAAGATACGTGTATTTAAATGCATCAAATCTAAAACAAAAGATTTCCAAATGGTGGTAGAAATAAAGTCTACATGCTTAAAAATCGTCACCTATGCACTTCCTCACCTAGGTCTATATCTACTCTATTCTTCGTTTGCGCCCTTTCAAAGACCATCGACAGTCGTAAAGTCGCCCTCCCTTTCTTGTGCATTCAAAAAAATGTTGTGGGGTTTTCTAATTGTATATAACCATTCATGTTCTGATCTCCTCTGTTGCTTTGCATGAATAGCTGTTTCATCACATTCAATAACAATACTTCTTTTTTCGATTCTAGAAGTACATGCAGTAAATCCTGTATTCTATCAAGTTTTTGCACCGTTTTCATAAAGCAATAATTTAAAAAAATCGAATAATCAAAGAAAAGCATCTGTAGATCTGGAGCCGCTAACTACCCTGTATGCTTAACAGTTAATAAAAAAGGATCTGAGATATGTTACTTTTGAATTATCATTTGTGGAGTGTCTATTCGTACTCTTCATTTCATCTGTTCATTTTTCCAAAGCATCAACGTTAACCAAAGGTCTTTTATTAGGTAGCCCTTTTTTTTACTCATAAACAATAGCTCTGAAACATGTACATCAGAGCAGCATGTTGAAATTAAAGGGTAAACCTTTTTCGATGTCATACCCTCAAAATCATCCTCCCTATACTAAACACATACAACTACATCTCCAACACACACACGGATGGAAAGCTGGAAGTAGTAAAATCTTTTTAATAAGGTCTTCCTAATCCGGACCTCTTCAGCCATATGAAAGACATTCGCTCTGCGCAACCAAAAAGACCCCTGTCTTTGGTAGTGGGTGAAATCCTACTTTTAAAACGATGTTTGAGGATCACAATGCTATTTTAGGGTTCTTATGAGCGTCCTTCTACTCCCCCCCCTTCTCCCTTTCCTGAAAGAAGGCACAAAGTTAAATTATCGTTTCCCCTCTAAAACTATATTCAGCTTCGCTCTTCACACCAAGGATGTGTCCACCATGGGTGGCTGAGTGGACGGCCGTGATAACTACGTATTCATTTTGGATATGGTAGGACTTTAAGGTTTTTTACTACTGCTATGATTATTGTTTACAGCTTCTTTGGTCATACCCTCCCAATCGTCTGTTTTTCCGCCTGTGCTGATAGTTCCCTCCCTCCATTCTTATATTTAAAGAATCATCAAACAATGCTATTCTTCCATCCTTCATCTCGTCTCCTTTATCTGTTTGCCGGCAACAAACGATAGTCTTCTATGCAACTAACCGTAATTAGTATAGATTTTGTCTCTGAGTAAAGAAACGTCGACACAGTACAAATAGGATATCCAATAGTCTTTTTTACTGATTTGAGTTGTGAAAGTCTTGTTAAGATCTCATGAATACGAGAATAAATAGTGCTACTCAAATGTCTCGTTTCCTTGATCCTATTCCAGATGAAAAACGTCCGCCCAAGGGACATGCTCAAACGTCAATGGCATTTCCACCACTTGAAAAGGTACCCCCCACGACTAAAAAGCGCCGAAGACTTACGAAAAATGTGTCGAATTGTCTTTACTGTTTTAGTTTAGAGAATAACTCGCGTATCTATTCCTCTTTCCATCCAAGCGGTTTCTTCCCGGAAACTTATGGATCCTTTCAGGATCTGCGATATTCTAAAGGACGCAATCAGTTTGATCTCTCGTTAAAACTGGAGGAGGTGCATCAAAAGCATCGTGCTAAACAAATGAAGGAGGAACTTGAAAAGAAAGCTCTTTTGGAAGACCTCAAAGAACTCAAGAGGCCCAGTACTGCTTTACATAAAACAACAAGAAAAGTCCCTAGCATGGGATCTTGTTACCCAAGGACTTCTTCGAGCAAGCCCATGCATTCCAAGACAGTGTCTACGGAACTTCAAAATCCTATTGCCAACCCCTTGAATATGTTCATTAACTCATCATACAAAAGGGCACCTACTCAGCGATTCGGCTGCAAAGTACTCAACGACTTTGAGGTATTTCCCTTGAAATGTTGCGTCTCTAAGGAGGGTGCTGTCACGAGCAATGAACCACATATCAAATGTTCGCTATCCTTTCTTTGAGATGGATTTGCGTACGAGAGATTACGTATGCAAAACTGGTCCTTATTGATGGGTTACGATGAAAAGTTGTGTAGAATAAGGGCCAAGATAAAAAAGGCTTTCGTTAGCGCGATCCATTCGATTTTGGTATTTTTTTCTATTTAACTGTTAGTAAAATCTGTATGACAGATACAGAATGAATAAAAAATAAACCAGATGTCAATTTTAGTTTTTTCTCCATTTTGCAAGTGCATCGGTTTCTAGAGCTTTGTTGTTGCAATATTTGCCCCAAGAGGCGCTGCCTAAACTAGTGTGGCAAAAAAGGACTGCTGATACTTCGATTTCTCCTCAAGCCAGGTCATTTCACACTGCAACTGTAATGAGATGGCCAATTTTGTCAGGAAAAGTAGATGTATATCGACAATTTTGTCTATAATTCTGTCTAGATATTCTCACTATAGTTTTTCTGTATTTTCCTTGAAATATTGTATCGAACATACTATACAGCTTGAGGATCTTTTTACCGATCTAACACCAATAGCTAGTGCTTATTAAACGCTGCTATCTTTTGGTGTTTGATTCATGAGACTATTTTTTGTGTGTTCGCTTATGTAAAAATTTTCAGATAGTGATCGGATTTTTGTGCAATTTTTCCAAGGTATACTCAATTTACATATTCAAAATAAATATGATATTTTTAAGCCATAATGATAAAGGCTTTAATATGCTTTCACTTTCTTGTGGCCCATTTATGTTTTAAGGAAACAACCTTATCTTTGGATGCCGTATTGTGAGTGCATCACATATCTGGATATCCACCTAAAGTTGTTGTGTGTTCCTCAAAAACCTTTTATATTGCAAACATATAAATATCTTTATTTTGTTAGTTGCATGATTCTATACAATTTAGAAAAAAAAGGAACACATTTATCCTTACGTGTCTGGGATGTAATAAGCTGTGGATATTTGGTTGTTCTGTCCTTCACACTTAACGATACTTTATTTTTACTATGTTTAATTATTAGGTGTGTTCGCTATCCTGAGTCTTTTTCCTTCATTATCACTTATAATAGTGAACCGTTGAAATAAATATTCTATGGATGTGCTGTGGTATGCATGTATTTTATTATATTCATCCTTTTGGGATATAAACAGACGTATGTGTAACAATTGTGACGGTAATCGGTTATTGCCACATTCTTTAGGCTTACAAAATGATTGCTCTCTAAAAACTACATACCTCAAATGGACTTTAGATTTAAAATCAAGTGAGAGGAGAGACCTCAGACAGTAAGCAACGAAAATACACTCCCCGATGGCCGTTGTCTTCATTTTCGACGTTAGCCTCCCTGAGAAAGACGCCTCGGTGCCCCTGCCACTTTCTTGGCAATGTGCGTCGGAATTGACAAGCTGTGCGACATGGGATAACGCAATGGAATTGTGGAAGGACACTAAAAACACAAAACGCGAAATCAAACTCCCACTTGAAGAAGTGTTGGGAATGCGGCCTGATCACGAGGATCAAGGTGAATCCGAAGCGACCCCATACGCCCTGGAAACTTTCCCGAGAACCGTCATCGCGAAGAATAAGTACTTTAGGATCGACGTGCAGCCCATCGTGGGGTATTATCGATCTCGTTCTTTATCTTCCGCGATCGTTAAACCATACGCTACGGCCCCCATTTCGAACGTTGCCCTTTTAATTCAGCAGACTTTACGACGTTGTTCTCACGAACGGGGCGACCGCCTCTCCACGCAGAGGGGCTCTGAAATCCCTTTTGGTTGCGTTTTTACGGCGCACCTCTCGCAGGATCCACGGGAGGCGATTCCATGGGAAACCGTTCCACTATCCCACGCGCTTTTTTCCGTCGTTCTCGTCTATCACGAGAAGGACGAGGACCTCCAGCGCGCGGAGCACGTGAAGACCTGGCGGCAGGAATGTCTTAGCCATCAGTTTGAGTTTATTCCCCATCGTTTCGCTCGCGATGCGAGGGGAGCGCTCGAGGTTATTCCCGCCGAGGTGGGATCTGTTGGGCTGCTAAAAGGCCTTCTCACCGGCAGCTCGCGCGTCGCTCAAATCCTGTGCAACACGTTATGGCCGAGCACCGTCCGTAGACCACTTTCGGAGGCTCCTTCAGCCTCTTTTCCGGCATCCCAAACGGGTGTGAATGCAAGCCAGGCGGAGGTGAAAGAATCCGATCCTATCAACCTCTTCTTAGTGATTAGCAGCGATTTTACAAAGGTGCTCCGAAGCTTTACTCAACCGAACTTTTCCGATGGTAGTGATGAAAATGGGGAAGTGGGGGTGCGACCCCGCGCTGATCGTCGGCAGCAGGATATTCGTTTTTTGACGATAGCAAAGCAAGATTTAGAGCGGTTTCCTCCCTCTGTAGGGGGATGCCCATATTTAACCAACAACTCTATTCATAGGAATCATTCCCACGAAAGCGTGGGTATCAACGCCGACAGGGAGGTCCATGCGAATGGCCCGCAGTCCTCCTCCTTTCCACCCAGTTCTCTGGATGAGCCAGAGGAAATGGGGCTGCGAGAGATGGAGCCGTTGCTCCTGGTGAATCGCTACTTTTCCGCGTTGGTTGCCCCTCTTTGTGTGCACCCTGCCCTCTTTGATTCCGCGATGAGTGATCGGTTTCGGATGGCGTTGGAAACGATGAGGCGGAGGGAGGGTTTTAACACATCGTTCAGCGTCGTATTTTGGTCTGGAGAGCCCTCTGAGAGATTGATACCCCTTTCTGATCTGCTTGATCAGCTCATAAGATTGGGATTTGAGGATGTGAAGGTGGTGATTCCAACCACACCCGAGGGGGTGATGTCTATACCATTAACGGCGATAGAAGAGCAGGTGTGCGCGGAAAAGGAGGTGGAGGTGATCTCCTTAGGGCCCTTCCTTTCGCGTGAGGTGGATTCTCCCAACCTGGCAAGGAGCGGGGTTAAAAAATGGGAATTGGAGGAGGGCGTGAGCGGGGCGGATCGTCTTCGGGAGGTCCTGCACTGCGTTACCTCATGGAAATACACGGAATCGACCCCGAAGCCTCTCCCTTGGCATTGCTTTACCCTTTCCCCAACCCCTTGTAATCGGAATCGATGTTTTCTACACCTCTGCGCGGGATCCGCATGGGACGAAGAGATATGGGCTCGTCATCTTCTCTCCCACGCCCTTCCCTCCTTTTCCGGGCCCCCACGCGTGGAAAGCCCCGTGGCGTCTTGCCTTCCCTCCCTAACCATCGCTGGGCATCCAAATGGCATGCACAAATCTCTCACAAAAAATTCCAACGCAGGTTGTGAGTTTGTGCTGTCAAACAAGTACTTTTCCACGAGGGTGGATCTCTTCTTCTATGGAGGGGTATGCAGCCGAGAATGGCGCCAGGAGGCCCCTCGGTTGGACTTCCTGGAGACCTGTCAGGCTTTTATTATGCTGTGCACTCGGGAAACTCTTCACCTCGCGTCATTGGAGGAAATACATTTGGAAGATGGTGGGAAACCCTCGGATGATGCGGCCTGGATCCCTACGCCTTTGCGAGGTCCATCTCCGGCGGACTTGGCGTGGATTCTGAGAAAAGTCCAAGGCCTCTTAGCCAAGCAGTGGAAAGAAGAGCAAGAAGACCTGTTGGGAGGTTCGGACGGGGATGGCGAAACCGACAATCTCAACACGCACGCCACAACGGACCTTGGAAATTCCTCCGTGCTGAAGCGAGTCGCGCTGCTCTATGTGGTGGACGCGGACCCCCATAATACGGCTCTTATGGATGGGATCTTGGAGGAGGTAGATCGAATTTTATTTGGCGATCAATCTAATACCCCGCCACGCTGCAACAGCGATGATATCCATGATGCAATCGATGAGGAAACGGTAAATTTTTCCTTAATCGAGGTTGTCGGGATGGATGTTGGGTTTACCGCAGACCAAATGGGCGCGGTGCGGCCCCCACGCCACGCGGAGAGTTTTGAAACGGAAGGCTGCACGAGAATACGTGAGGCCCTGGAGCAGCACCGATGGCTCTTTACACAAAACGCGGCAGTAGAATACCAAAACGGCAAAGATACCGAAGCTTCAAAGGTTGAAAAAGAAGTTCTATTACGGGCGTCGCTAGAGCAAGGGAGTATGGAGCCTGAAACCGAGCTTCATCCACGCGATACGCTTCCAACTGTCGATCAGGGAAAAGAACAGATTCCTTCGATAGGATGCGAGCCCCCACGGCATTACCTCATGGACCCTCAAAGTTTGCGCACCGAGCCTGTGTTAGCCCTTTTGTATTTTAACATGAAGCGAAAGGCAAATGGGGAGGGTGACCTCACGGGTGCTGAGGGTGATGAGGATCCCAACTCAAAATTCCTTCCGAACGATCTTTCCAAACAAAAGAATAGCATCAAGAACGATCTGGAAACCGAGTACTATACCGAGCTAATGGCCTGGGTGAAACGAATGAAGCTGTACGGTGATCACCTCCCGCCGAGTGTGCGCCAACTACAAGCTGAAGTACTCACTCTAGCTTTGGGGGAAGCTCTATCCTAGAGGGAGCTAAATAGCGCCAACCACGAACTTGATAAAATCGTTTAAGAACATAAAACGACAAGCCTATAATGGGACTCTTCTTCTAGAAAAAAAATCAATCGTTTTTTGAAAGTAATGAGAAAAGTTTTGTACCATCCTTGTATCTTTTTTTGTCATCTTCTGTTGCTGTTTTTTTCTGCTCTATAAGAAACAATAGGTTGTAATGCGGAAAGATCCTCGACGCGAACCATGGAATCCGATAAAAGGAAAACAATCCCCATTTCCACATGGACGACGGGTCTTTCGTGGTGGCGAGAACAACACGAATAGCCATCGTAATCGATCCGATCCCCGAAACGATCGAAGCGTCCCTCGTAGCAGTGCTCAAGCGCCCCCTGGGCATATCCCGATCGATATTTCGTTCGGCAACTTTGACTTTCAAGATATGAAGAATGTCGGGCAGCGTGGTGGAGGCATGCGCGAGCTCGCGTCTCTTCTGCGGCAGGCTCGACGAAAAGTGGCCGGCCACAAGCAGCTCCTTCATTCGCGGGAAGGGATTCAGCTTCGCAACCGCGACCTCCTCAGCGCCGCCGCGCAGCGGGCGGCGGGAATTAAGGTGAAAGATGATCCCCAGCGACTGGCCAAATCGATTGCGAAGCGGAAGAGCAAAAAGCGGCAATCCGCCAAGCGATGGGCGAAACGCGTGAAGCATCTAGAGGACTCGGTGGAGAATGTGGTGAAGGATCGATCCAACGCGAAGAACATGCATCGAATGCGCAGGGAAGCCTCGAAAAAGGAGAAAGCGAAGCGGCGAGAGGCAATTAAGGCGGTGAATAAAGGCAGTGCTGTTGAAAAAAAAGGGAATGCCTCCGCCGAAGCCAAAGGTGCACGAAAAAGGCCATCGGGGCGTGGTGGGAGAAAATAGGCGAACCCCTAAGGCGTGTTTCGGGTGTTAAATGATTACTCATTGCTTCTCTTATGCAGGGTGTACTCGTTCAATACATTTGGCCTTTTCCAAGAAGCCTGTAGCTTGACCCTTAGGGTCTGTGTTAATCGTATAAGACGTGTAAAAGACTGCGTTTTGGGAAACCAAAGTTTTCCCCTCTCAAGGAATGGCATTTTTTCCCCATTTCTATCTCATAATGAGTTCATGTCGTTGGTAGAGGAGGTTTTGTGTCTTCAAAGTGATCTCTTATGTTGGTTCGTCTCCGTTCTTTCTGTAATAAGTTGCTCTCACAGGTAGTCGAGGCAAAGAGTCTCATTTCGCGCACAACAAAAAGGCGTAATGGAAATAGCCGAAGGTCGGCCACGGCGAGCGAATGCGGGCAATTTGCTTCGTGAACTGCTCGAAAAAGGTCTGGACTCGGATGAGGAAAAACTCCTTCAGGAGTACGACGACGCCACAACGGATAGCAGCTTCATCTCCCCTAGCGATGAGGAAACGGAAGACGAAGTCGACACCGATTTCTCCGACGAAGAGGTGGAAGGCACGCTCAAAGGCGAACTTGTCGAAACCGAGGCCACCGCGCAACGAGAAGAGCGAAGGGAGCGAAGAGAGGAGAAACAGCGGCAAATGAGGCGTTTGAACCAATTTAGAACCCCCAAAGCGCGCCCTGGGGTAAAACCAGGGCGTGGAGGCCATAAGTTGCAACGCGAAGTGAAGCGAGACCGGCCCGAAAGCCATCCCCCTCCACGCGGGAGTAGCGAAACGAACAGCACCGACCACGACGACGGCGAGGAGGCCGACGACGAAAAGATGGATTTCCTCCGTGTGCTGCGGCATCGCCCACCCCCCACCATTCCGTTAGCCACGCGTCTCGCTCAGGCCCACGCCCGCGCGCGAGAAGTTCGCCAGCAGCAGCAGCTCCTCGCGAGCAACAGCGCTGCTGCGAACGAGGAGGCAACGCGCTCGCCGGTGAATCCGCCGCATCCCACCCTTTCGGGTCATCCAAAAAACCAATGCGGAGGGGGAGGGGGAACTTCCCGGAAGCGGATGCACGCGCGAGCGCGTTTAGCCTCCGCGGAGGCGCTTTCCCGTCCCCCATCGCTTCCGCAGGATCGGCGGGCGTGGTTGTATGCGGGGCCGACTCCCCAACGGGTGGGGTATCATAGCAGTCAAACCGTGATGGAGCGCTTTCACGTTCCGGTGGTGATCTCGTTTAGCAAGCAACTCCCGCCCGTGTTTCAGAAATAAGTACACCCCACACGCCAGGGGGAATCACGGACGAGGAAATGAAAGCTTAGATATATATATATATATATATAAAGGGAACGCGAGGGAACGGAGTGTTTCTTTTTCATTGGTGCGGTTGTTCTTGATCATTAAGGATTCAATAGGTCTTTGTCTCTACCCTAACTGCTGGTCTTCCCCTTCAAATCCTGATTGCCTTTAGTAGACATCCTGTAAAACCTCTCAAGTGGCATTCCATTTTTCCCCTTTTGGCCCTCTGCTCTTTCACTTCCTCGTAAATTTAACTTTAGGTTGTCACAACTCACGCAAAAAGGTAATCACAAATTAACAAAAAAGGCGATTAAAAAAGAATAAAAATAAAAATGGACGCCGAAGAGGGTTTGATTATTCTCAACAAGCAGAAGCAGGCCGAACAGGCCGCCTTGGAGGCCCAGCAGGTGCACATTCGTGTGCAGCAGCGTGCGGGGAAGAAGTCGGTGACGACCATCCAGGGCCTCAACCCCGGGCTCAACTTCAATCGCATTAATCGGGAATTTCAGCGGCGCTGGGGCTGCAACGGAACGTTGATTAAGACCGCGAATGCCGGGACCGTGATCCAGCTTCAGGGGAACTGGAGTGAGAATATTAAGCAGTTCCTACTCGATGAGCACATGGCGACGGAAACTAATTTGAAGATCCACTCTCTGTAAAATGAAATACTTCTATATGTATTTTATTTTATCCATAAAATAATAGGTTTCTCTACGTAGAAGGCATTGGCTTTGGTACCGAGTTTTTTGGTCGTAGTCCGTGCATGGTTGTTTAGGCGTGTATTAGGGAAAAGTGTATTCGAGGCTAGTTACCTTGTCTTTGGTGTTCCAAGACTAAAGTTGCTTAAAGAATAATGTTGTGGTACACGCTTAATCAGTTAATAAATTTTGTGAATTTAAGATAAATTGACCGTATTCCATAATAAAAAAGTGCACAATCACTCAAGCTGTATTTTATTTTGTGCCTCAGTGTGTGTATTCATATTTTGTACTCCATGTTTCACCATGGTAACTTTTTCCAGGAATAAATGCTTAATTTCCACTGTACCCATTTGTTGCAGCCGCTTTATCAAGTATTCGATAAGTACTAGTTTATCATTTTCTTTTATCAATACACCTTCTTTGGCGTTACTATTGTTCTCTGTCCTAGAAGATAGCACCTCCCATCAAACGCTAAATAGAAAAAGAAGGAACCGAGATACCTTATTTCTTTCCAATATCGAAAGCGTCTCCATTCTCTCTTACTTTTCTTATTATTCACGCTTTTCAAGATGCTTCGCCGATTGAATGCTCGTCTCCCATGCGCCGCAGCGGCTTCTTTCTACCAAAGTCACTCTGCGGCGTTCTTCTCCACCGGAACCTCTCGTTTCATGCGATTCCCCTTGGCAAAGCGTGCCACGCTCGCGGGTCTAGGGGGTTCATCCGCTTTTCGCGCCTTTACAACGCCCTCCCGACCCTCGTTCATTCACGTTAGAGGCGGTGAGATCCGGCGCAGGGATACCCCCATGACGTGGGATGGGACCCCTTCGCGTGGGAGCGAGGCCGACAGCCTCACCCCGTACGTCCGTGAGCACCTCACACGGGTTTACACGCTCCTCGCCACCGGTTGTGTGGCGGCAGGGCTTGGCAGCCTCTTAATGATCGCGACGCCACTTGCGAAGGTCATTCCATTTTGGATGCCCATGGTGGGTGGGTTCATTCCACTACTTTGGTTGAGTTTCGCACCGCCGGCGAATCCAGGGCTGAAAATCGCCCTCTTTTACGCCTTTACGCTGCTGGAAGGGATGGCCATCGCGCCGTTGGTGCTCATGACGGCGGCGAAAGGGGTGTTGACGACTTCCTTGGTCTTGACGGCGGCCGTTTTCTTTGGGTTCAGCGCCGCGGCGTACCTCGCCCCACGCGCCTCGCTCGTGGCGTGGCAGGGGCCGCTTTATGGGGCGCTGATCGGCATGGTGGCGATCTCCGTTCTGAACATTTTCTACCCCACCGCGATTGTCCACTCCATCATCCTCTATGGTGGCTTAGCGCTTTTTTCGATTATGATCTCCAGTGATACCCAGATGATGATTGAACGGGCTCGCTGTGGGGCTGGGGATCACGTGCAAGACGCTTTACGGATGTTTATGAACGTTATCAATATCTTCATCCGTATTGCTCAAATTATGGGTAGTATGAACCGCTAAGCTGGGATGCTGAAGGCCGCACAGATGATGGTAATTGGAAACCATAGAAACGACATCAGATCAAAATAGTTACACCCGAATCCAATGCATAGTTGAAACGATTCATTTTTATGAATTGAGGGGGGGGGGGGAGGGGCAGATCTTTCGATTAGTATACACACGGAAAATTGCTTGGTGTTTTATTGCTGCTGTTGCTGCTGCTGTGTTCTACAAACCTTCCGACCCCATCAGTATCCAAATGTGGTACGCAAATCCTCAAGGTGAAAAAATTCCGTATGAGAGTGTTTGGTTTGTTGTGTCTTCTGTGTGTGTGATTTCGCATAAGCTTATTGATAATATATAATTGAAACGGGCACACATTTTTTTTGATGGAAAAAAAATATTGGTAATTACGTTGAATGTTTTTTCTCCTAATCTCGCCCAATGAGACTACTACACAATGCATTAAGGGGAAAAAACAATAAAGGATCAACGTGACATGCACTCAGGGAGCCTTCTTAAGGTTTCTTTTATCGCGACTTCGTTCTATGCTTCACTCTCTCGACTACCTCTTTAAAGTACTTTAGTGAGGAGAAGTATCCGTGAAAGATAAATCTATCCTTCGAGCATAAGCAGGGTTTTTTTTTTCGAAACCTAAATCGCTTTTCGATATCACTCCTTAAAGACTTCTAACAGAGCCTTAACATCATCATCATCAACAACAACAACAAGAAGAACCCCCTCCCAAAAAAAAAAACTACCACCTGTTATAGCCCAAGGCTTTTGGATCCCCTTTCGATACTTCATCCAGCCCAATCGCAGGACCGTGAACCGGCAACCCGGACGACCGACTTGAATCCGACGACCCCCGCGACGCACGCCCCCTGCCGCGCGCATGACGACCCTTCCCGAGTTCATCCCGATCGCGAAAGGGAAGGAACTCTTCGCGATGACCTCCTGGCGCGATAACGCGG